TTTATCATTTTATTCAATTTTTAGTTTACATTTAACAAAAAAATATTTTTTGCTATAAATATGAAAAATTCTATATTTTTATAATTTTATTTATACAATAATACGGGTCAAATTAGAACAAATCGCTACCCGATTGACCCGTGACCGGCATGGGCTCGACCCGGATGCATTAGCGCACGGGGTTGGGTCGTAGTCCAAAATTTGTGGGCCGATCCGGAATCGGCACGGAACCCGTAGCAAGCGGGCTTTTTTCACGAGGGCCGTTACCGGGCTCATATGTTGGCTGGCCGACCCGCCCCGGACCACCCGGATTGATACCTCTATTTTCAGCGAAATAATTTTAGAGATGAATTTATAATTTTATCTACTAATTAATTGGATGTTTTTCTAAAAATCACTTTTAATAAAAATTCTCAAACAAGAGCCGGACCTCAAGAGAGGCCAAAGAGGCCGCCGGTTGGGTTGTTGTCGGGGGCAGCGGCGATGGTCTGTAAGGGGTGGAGAGAAACCACGAAGAAGCTTTGGAGAGCAGCGGAGGAGCTCCAACTCAGGGTTCCGGCGAAGGCACGGATTGGATTTTTTGGATCGATGTTGCAGAAATGTCCTGGACTCATAAAACTCTCTCTCACGATGAAAAGGTCAGGGATATGGAGCTGATGATCAGATCTAGGGTTTTATCAAATAGATTTGGTGATAATTCATTTATAAAATTAAAATCTGTTTGTTGAAGAATAGGAATAATTGATAAAAGTTGAAAATATACAGTGCAGAGGCTAAGTGCATTCGCATATAAGGAATCTATGAAAAAATCTCAATAGAAAGTGCACTAATTGTAAGGCAGATCTGGCGGGTGTTGGTGGTGGAGGTGGTGGCGGTGCCGACTTTTTGGGTTTTATTTTTTTGTTTATATTTGTGTGTTTCAGATTGGAGACAGTGTTGGTGGTGTGACAATAAGGTGGCGGTTGGGTGCTGGTGGTTGTGAAGTTGGCTGCGGGTGGTGGTGCTTGGTGGTGTTTTGTGCTGCGACGATTTTGTGGTTGTAACTGTGGTGGCCGATCTGGCGGGATCTAGTGGTTTTTGGTGGTGGTTTTGGAAATTGCGATGTTACTACTGATTGTCATGGTGTTTGGGTGGTGGTGATGTTGGTCGTGGTGGTTTTCGTGGAGGCGGTGGTAGTGGTCGTGGCGATAGTGCATAGGTGGTGGTGGTGGATCTGGTCATTTTGGTTTTCTTTGACTAAAAATATAATATGTGACCTTAAAATTCNGTGTCAGATTGGAGACGGTGTTGGTGGCGGTTGGGTGCTGGTGGTTGTGAAGTTGGCTGCGAGTGGTGGTGGTGTTGTGTGCGGCGACGATTCTGTGGTTGTAACTGTGGTGTCGGATCTGGTGGTTTTTGGTGGTGGTGATGTTGGTCGTGGTGGTTGTCGTGAGGTGATGGTACTGGTCGTGGCGATAGTGCAGAGGTGGTGGTGGTGGTGGTGGATCTGGTCATTTTGATTTCTTGTGACTAAAAATATAATCTATGACCTTAAAATTCGATGACCTGTGACTAAAAATATAATCCCTGACCAACCATTTCGTTATCTGTGACCTAAAAATTATATAATCTGTGACCGTGAAAAAATCCGTGGCCAAATAATTTGGAAATTTGTGTTCGTGTGACATTCTGTGACTAAAAATATAATCTGTAACCTTAAAATTCGATAATCTGTTACTAAAAATATAATCCGTGACCAACTATTTTGTTATTTGTGACCTAAAAATTATATAATTTGTGATCGTGAAAAAATTTGTGACCAACTAATTTGAAAGTCTGTGA